GAGGACATTGACATGTTTTTTGCTTCAAAGCCAAGTGATTTCCATAATCAGGGCGTTAACAACTTGATTGTAAGATAGAGAAGCATCATCAATAAGAATGGAGACTATTTCATTTAATAAATGTTTTGTTTTGATATACAAGTTGTTCGGATTTTTTCATCTAAAAAAAGCAACATTAATTTTCTTGATGACCTAATATTTTGGAATATTACTTTTCTTGAAGGTTACCATGCATTCTGTTTTCTTGTTAATGAGAGTAAATGATTTTTTTTACTTTCATCAATAATTATATTGATCTTTCAGCAATTAGCACAGTATCATCTACATATCTCAAGTTGTTGATGTTATGTTATTCACCTTTAATTCCTGGCCTATTTTCTATACCTCTGAGAATCATTTCATTATATACTGAGAAAGGGTCAAAGTAAAGGACAGATCCTTGTATAACACATTGTTTTGCTTCTTAAAAAGTACCATTATATTTTCTATCTTTATGGCTGAGCTTTGTTCCCAATACAGATAGCAGAAGATTCTAAGATCTTTATCATCAACACTTAGATGATCTAGAAGTTTTAACATCTCCTCGAGTATTACCCTGTCAAATGCCTTAGTGTAATCAATAAAACACATGTATAAATCTTTTTGTACTTCAATTGCTATTTTTTGTTAATGTTCAAAATATACACATGGCACTTGTACCCTAACCTTCAACTGTTTTGTGTAATTCACAATCAACTATTCCTTGTTTTTAGGTAATGCAATAAAAATTGATTTTGGCATGTCATACTGTATCTCATCAGTTTTATATATCTTATTCAGGGGTTCTGTGATGACACTGATTCCAAACTCTTCCATGCATTGAATAATTTCAGAAGTGATTTTACCTGGAGCTGCTTTTTTTCTTCATTTTCATCTTGATTGTTTTCCTTCCTTCATCTTTCATTATAGATGATCCTTCCACATTTCTCAGTATTATTGGTATTTTTTCAGTTTCACTTGAAATGTGTCATATACTGGAACATAAATCTCTTGTTGATTAAAATGTAATCAACTTTATTTCTAGTACGATCTCCTGAAATTATTCATGTTTACAGATGACTTAGATGTTGTTGGAATAATGCATTTCTAATGATCATCTCTTGGGTTTTTCCCATTCTATCAGACTGTGTTGTAGCTACAAATTATTTGAAAAACTGATAGTACAAGAGCAATATCTATTACCATGGTACTAACATACTAATTAAGTTCTAGTCATTGAAATTATGGGAACATGACATTCATGTTGCACTGAGGTTATAGATAGTTTTATTTGTTTTTGAATTTCTTGAAAAGCTATTCAAAGAATATTTACACTAGGTTTACCTAATTTTGAAGTGATGAACTAGAGGGAAGGCAGTTAGTCAAAACCACTCGCTGTCAACTCTTGGACTACTCTTTACTAATGAATGGTAGGGTTAATCATCACAGTATAACACCTCCCCCTCATGTGGAAAACAGCTGTATTGCAGAAGATAGAAAATAATTCCTTTACTGATGTTACTAGTTGGCCTTTTGGCTGTATACTGTCCTATTGATTCCCCATCTGTTGTTTTTCATAGCCAAATCACATGGCATTTTGTTTTCCAGCAGACTGATTCCTTCTGTATGTCAATGAAGATCTATGGTTGTTGCTTTCACCTTCTCAATATAGAAGAAGAAGAAGAAGTTGATTTCTGCCAGTATAGTTGTGCTGGATTTGATAAAGTGGCTTTGCCTGTGAGCTTATAAAATTTTTCTATCAAATTTACCCCTGCATGGTCTGGCACATACATACACGTGATGATATTACCACATAATTACTTTTCTTTCTGTCATTCATTGGGGAACTAACCACTAAGAATTTTACGACTTACTGTCTGTGAGTTCAGTCACAAATATTATGTAGGTAGCACTTTCTATTTGTGGTTAATTGCTTTCAGCAATCTAGATGAGAGCTTGCTTTATGGTTTCCAGCTACATCCTTGTGTTGCTTGTGGGAAGTTTCAGTGCTTATGCATAAGGTTGTTGTTCCATGAGATGATGAATACTTAAAGCTTGCTCACTGTCTTTAGTGTAGGAGCTTTCTGTGGCTGTGATGACAAGTAACTGTTCACCATGATTTTTAAGTAGCACTGAAGGATTTTTCTGCTACACTCTCTGCTTAATATCTACATTTTCTGTCTAGGCTTATTTCCACAGATCCAAGTGGTGCCAAATTTTTATTCCACCTATGTAAATCTGAAATCTGATGGTGACGAATTATCTCAGTGGTCACTTTATAGTATCTGTTCACCCATGACTGTCTCCTGAGGTGCCCTTTTTAGGCAATTCCCTATTTAGTTGTGTCTAAAACATCATTTTTGATATAGGTTGTCCAGTTGAAAAGGGCAGTGTCTCGATGATAAAATGCATGGGTTTTACACTGCAAGGCCTTAGTTATGAATTTTGTTTATAAGTGCTGTTGGTGTTCTGTAATGCTGCTGAGGTTTGTGAGGTGTAATAGGGTTTTGGTGGGGTGGCTGAAGCACCTTCTGTGACTAGTTCTAAACAGGTGTTTTATATGTTTTCAATCTTATCTAGCTGTGTAGCACTTACACTGCTCATTGGTAGTGCACAATTAAGGATGAAATAGATAAGACTTTGATAGAACATAAACAGGTGATGGTCTTCAACTCTATTTCCTGCAGCAACTTTCACTGCATTAATGTCTTTGGTAGCTCTGAATATCATGGTGTTAATGTGGCTGGTGAAATTGAGTTTTATGTCAAAGGTTACCCCAGATACTTCAGTGTTTCTTCCAGAAGGATAGCAGTGTTTGCAAAGGATGATGTTGGTTGTTGGTTTTTACTCATTAACATGTATGTTGTTGAGTATTCATAAAATGGCTGTAGCTTTGATAGGACTGATGTGCATTTCTGTGTCATTTCACAATTTGCTCATCCTGCCAACGAGTGGTTGCATCTTGTTTTCAACTTCAGCTTTCAGAGAGCCTTTGCTGTATACCAAAATGTCAACAAAGATTAGCATGTGGCAACAGGTTAGATTTTCAAGGCAGACTAGAACCATGGTGTAGATTTTGATGAAGACTGGTTACAATAGTGAAACTAGATGCAGACTAGTGTTGATGATGTTCCATGCTTTATGATGCATTTTCTGGTAATTAGTGTGGCTACAACCCAGTTTACACATGTTAAACTAATGCCTATTTTAAGCATTTTGTCAGCTACTGTCAAGAAGTTCTGACCAGCCTCGAAGTCTTCCCATGTATCAGCTGTGAATTTAACAGGGTTGATTCACTTAAAGCTTTAAATATTTATAGGGTCGGTCCACATTTCTCTTCAACTATATCCATCTGATGATGCTGGTAGCAGTGGTTCAATATGATAGGCATCTAGTTATAGCCTTCACTGGGATCTTACCAGTTAAGTTTTGTGGAACAATGATTCAATGACTTTTAAGACAAGAGTGATTCTTCATGGGTTTGGGAAAGGATTAGAAAAAAGCATTATTCCATATTTCAGGTATTCTGCCTTTTGTCCAGCCACACTGATACTCGAAAACTAACTTCAACAGGTGAGCACTGTGATTAGAGACAGCTGCTAATAGTTAAAAGCACATGAGACATAATGTTTATAGTTTATATTACTAAATTAAATAAGTAATGCACTAATATAAAAATATACTTACAGCAAACAATGGTAAGTCATGGGACAAAAATTTGGGTAGATTGACATCTTTAATTGACCTTAACACCAGTATGTCTTCACTTTCTTCTGGATACTTCAGCTGTTTACAAATGCAAACATTCCTTACATCTACTAAACAATTAAACTAGTTAAATAAGCTCACATTAGTATCTTAACAAATAGTTGTTCAAGTTTTTATAATACAGTTACATGACTGTATTATAATGTTATGACAGCGGAAGTCACGCAATGCTGGAAGCATGTACGCTGGAATTTCTAAAAGGATCATGATTATTCCTGGCAACTCTAGTCTTTTCCAGGCGCCCTCTATTTTTGTATATAAGCCCGACAAATAAAGCAGAGAAAGCTTGCAGATATATAGATATAGAGATAGATAATTGAGTCAAGTGAGCAGTAAGCACCATAAGTAAAGTGCGTGAATCGTTGTGAAAGTAGTTAACTAAAAGTAGTTAACTTTAAAGTAACTGTGGAAAATCTTTGTATTGCAAAGTTGTATCGAGAAAGAAGAAACTAGTTTAAAGTAAGAAGGGACTTGTATCGCTGAAGTTTCTCGGAGAGAATTTTTACGGGA